AGTAGTAGAGTAATAATAACTATTTGAAGGCAACCTTTTTATGTTAGGGGCCGAAGATTCGTCAAAGATACCCCCTACTTCTTTACTGTATCACAAAAATATGTGGTTACAACGCAGGCTTCTTTACTAAAGAATATCGCTATCAAACCAGACTCCAAACATAACTATTCTACTATTGTATCTGCTACTCATGTATTCTTTCGAGAATATCAAATTAAATCTGATATCTTTCAAGTGTGATCACTCCTAGGTAATACGAGTATATCCAATAGTTAATGAATGAAATGTATGAACCAATCCGTTAGTCACACGTTGAAACTTATAGTAAGCGAATTAAATAATAACAATTATTTTATGATTTAATATTAAATGTACACAACCCTCTTATTTACATTTTTGAATAAATATTTCTGTTGTTGCATTTCACACTACAACTCAACTAGCACGTAAATAGTACAATAAAAATGTCATCAGCTTATCAGAAGCCCACTGCTGAGCAAAGGCCTCTTTCTCACATGGAGAAGGTTTGAGCATTAATCACCACGCTTGATCAAGACGGGTTGGTGATTTCAAACTCATAATTGTGAAACTATAAGTCCAAGTTTCCTCACGATGTTTTCCTTCACCGTATATCAGTGATGTCTAATAATAAAATAAAGAAATTAATTGAAAAAAATACATATATTGTTTTATAGTCACTTACAGTTTTTAACTAACAACTTAGTAAAACATATATAAAAATTAATATAGATAATATAATAGCAGCTTGAACGAGTACTGTCTTGTGTCTGAATAAGCATGGGTCGATCGACCTTCAGTATTAGCCCTCCGGTCGCGCCCTCAAAAGTTCTCTTCTACTCGGATCCCATTCAAACATAATGTATATAATTTTAGCAGTTACAACTGAATAGAGAATTGTATCATAAACTTGTAGTAGATTACTAAATATCAAGCCTTACAATATAATGAAGTCAGCGTAAGATTTTTGTTAGAAGAATATTTTGTATTTAATAGTTACGATTTATTTTCTAAGTTTAAAAGGCATAATGTATAAGTTTTCACGATTAACGAAATACCTAGATTAATACCGTTATTACAAAATAAAAAGTTTATGTATAGTTTTAACTTTAAATTAACATAATTTTTACCTTAAATCCGTATATATAGTCAGGCATAACCATATAGAGGGTGAAAAATGCACTGAAAATACATGCAATTTATTAATTAAGGCTCTAAATAAATGCAAAGTGAACCTCACCATGTTGTAAAACTAAAACAATAGCTTCCCATACGCCCGCATACAATAAATCCATACATGCTGAATATTTACCTGCGGAAAATGTAAGACATAATTGCGTTTTGTGCTATGTGGCTTATTATCGCCACTTTTTACATAACGTGGCGTATAACTACACGTTTTATTTCATGTGGCTTGACAACTTGACATGCAATTTTTTAAGTATTTTTCGTCTAAATTGTAAAAGGTATCTTATGTATTAATAAATGTTTGTTGGCTGAAACAACAAATATAAAATATTTGCAATACAATCAAATCATTCAGTTTTGATGTTATATATTTTGTTTTGGTTTAATTTATTTTATATTTTGTACCTAATATCTTTTATTCTGATTAGTTCTATTATCTATGTACAGATGCCATATATATCATCAAGATTTATAAATGTATTTATAAAACATATTATGATTTTTACAATTTTACCATTAAACCATATTATTATTATCACTTGAGTTTCAACATTTTGGGTTCTTTAAAAAAAATACATCAAACATTTTTACGATAGTAATTTATCACAAATATCACAAAATAAAAATTATCAATACATTATCATTATTTTTTAAATTTAATTTTGTCTATTTCAATTTGGTACACAAAAAAATAAAACCATCAAGACAAGGTCAATGTGTATTTAGAAATATAGTTCAAATATACTGCTCGCATTTTGGCAACAATCCATAAAATGATGTAAGCTAAAAACATCTTTATGACACAGTCAATACATGCTCTAATAGGCTGTATTTTGTTCAATCTCGTTGTGTACCTGTAGGATCATAAATACAACCGGATAATAGGTAATGCAAGAATTCAGAATTTAGCCAAAAACGTTGCCTAGTTGTTCATTGTGTTATTGAAGCATCAGTGAAAGTCAATTGACGTTCTTTTTAACTAATAATTACAAAATTCGTAAATAAAATTGAATATTTAAAAAGACTTTCAACTGATATTATTGAAAATATAATATTATAATTATTGAAAATAATCTTAAAAGATTCTTCTATTTACTCAAACATTCCAGTTAATTCATATTTTTTATAAAAATATTCCTTATAAGAAATATAAAACCAATTAAATATTCAATTCATGTTACCGAATAATATATGTATAATTGAAAATGTGATTATTATTTGACTTTAATTACATTCAAAATGGTTATTTATTTGAGCGTTTATTAATGAAAAAAATGCTGATTTAATGATGAAGGAAAAAGATTATAATACTGATATATTTGACTTTTGAGTGTGCTTAATAATTTTCAAGGACGTTCTACAAATCTCGTGTATGTATACAGGAAATGTTTGTATGTGTGTGTGTGTAAAACTAACACATGCATTAATTATTTTGTATTTTTTTTTGTGTCAAATGTCGTAAAAAGCCCGTTAATTGTCAAAAAAAACGGGGCTCTCTGATTGGTCGGTAAACAGTTCATATATTGTTACTCCATTTTATTATTATTATTGAAATTTGCGCAAATGAATAAGTTATAATTAGTAAACAGTGGATTGATTTATCAACGAATTATGGAAAATTATAGCTGTGAACTCTGAGTTACAAGTAGATTTTCAATAGTGTTGTTTGATGATAAAAATTAGTGTAATGTCAAGGTATGTGACCAGTTGAGATTGAACTAAAAGAAAGGTAATTTTGTTTAAATGAAACTAAAATTTTTCGGATTTTACTTCGCGTTTTATTTTTTATTAGAAACTACATACTCCCGACGTTTCGGCTACTTTTCAGCAACCGTGATCACGGGCAGACATCTCGTCTGAAAATCCGAAAAATATTAGTTTCATTTAAATGAGTACTCGCGAAAATCTTAGATCGGTTAATGTTATTCGTTTTGATAAAAAGTATTATGATAGTTTTAATTAGTTACACAAATACCTAAGTAATTTTGTTTGACTTGTTTGTTGTTTTCAAATCATAATAATAAGAATGCTTAAATTTCCACTGGATAATGGCTATTCTTATTTAAATATTTTACTTTTATAAAGCTGTGATGAACAGATCGTAATCGTTGTAAGGTACTTTCGTGGCCCAGAGGGATTTGAGAGATTTATTAAGTATATAGGTGTTCGTTCTGATCGGACTTCATTTCAAATTTAAATCAATACTTGAGAAAGATATGTTTAGCAAATTAAGCAAAGTTTAGCAATTTAAACTATGTACATACTAAAAAGCTATTAATACAGAAAGAGATTATTTTCCGTAAGCTAGGGTGCGCGTGCGAGTGTCGCCGTAGCGATGACGGACAACCGTTACACAGCTAAAGATGCGCGGTCCCGGACGACGCGAACAATAGACGCAGCGTGCACGGCGCATTCTCGCTATATACAATTTAATAAGAAGTTTGTCCGTCGCAAGAAATAAAAATATTAAATAAATTTTAAACAATTAATAAATAAATATAGAAAGGAATATAAATTTAAATTTACAATACAACACATCTAAGTAGCTCCGCTACATATCATTATTATCAATGTTTTAGAGGAGGAAGCGATGAAAATTGGTATTTTATTTTCAAACATATTCTGCTTACCTTACCCCAAATCTCTGTGCAGGCCACTGGTGCTTATATACATATATGTATGTACATTCATATACAAAATTAACATTTCTCATACAATTATTTTCTGCTAACAACTGTTTTAAATTTTCTTCCAAAGCTTTACTTATTCGTCTACTGAATATTTTTATTATTATGTATATGCAAAATACATATGTACTATGTTTGAAGTATATCTCTTGTTACTGCTGAAGAGTTAATTGCACAAGTCTGCAATATTGGTTTTTATTCTCATTCAACTTACCGTAGCAGATGCTTCTTAAGTAAAAAGTTTTGATTTTTTAGCTATGTATATTGCGTAGTTTCTCAATGCGGCTTTCTCTTTCTTTGTCTACCTAGCAATTTTCCCAGCTTTAGCCAGTGTCTGCCTTACATGTTGTGAATTGTTTTGGCTAATTGTTTTAACGACCATCCGCCTGCCTGACATCAACCCTCTTTGGGAATGCATTAATCAGTGATGTCTAAATACTCTTAGAAAGTACATATGACTCGGAAAAATATAATTGGTACTTGCCAGGATCGAACCCGCGCCCTTGTGCATGAGGGGCGAGCCTTTAAACCACTAGGACACCACTGACTTCATGCGGCTTTCTCTTTCTTTGTAGGTTAATGACTTCATAAATCTGCTTATATAAATCGACTTTCAAAATTCTTATCTATTTTGTAGATCTTTCCGAATGATCACCAGATAGCAGTGAAATTATTTTAATGGCATTTTGGTTAATAAAAACATAAACATTATTTTTGTGTGTTACATTTTCATTTGTACAAGTACGAATTGATTTCAAAGATTCTGATTTTGCTTTGATTGTTCTAACTTCTGGTATGGTCACTTTCTTCGAATATATTATCATATAATTCTCTTCTAGAATAATAAAGAAACATGTAATACGCGATTTGTTAGTAAAATGTTTTTGTGAATAAAATATGTATCAACATATATTTTAATTAACATGCATAGAACTTAAAAGAAACTACGAATTCTTATGATGTATTCGGTTTTGTCTTTGTGAAGTTACCTTTTGTATCATGTAAATCAACGTTTTTAAATATTTTCTATAATAAAATAAGTTATAAATCTCAATATGGAAGCCAGTTTATACTCTAAAGCCTGTTCTTTTTATATTTCAGGTCAATATGAAGAGCAGTGATGTAGTGCTAATTTCGTTACTAAGTATAGGCGCTGTGGCAGTTTTGTTCGCTGTAGCTGCTTACCTTTATATAAGAAGAAGGCGACGGAAGAGGGAAGACGATGAAGATGGCACAAGCTGTGCTATCAGGTAAGAGAATTATTTTCAAGCTGGTAAAAATTCTAACCAATAACGTAATAAAATTCTCTTTGAGGTTCTTTTAATCAAGGCAATAATAGGAAGGATTTAGAATTAAAACATAGAAAAATATAAGCTGATGATGATGAGATGCTTGCTATCAAAGTTTCACGACTTTTTAATTTGTTATATTTTTTGTACAGTCTTAAACTCTTCTAGAAATTGTATTTAATTTGATCCAAAACTACGATTGGTTTCATTAGTCTTCAATAAAACAATTTCCTTTCCTAAAGTCTCAAAACCCTTAAAGAAAACGGTTAAGATTAAGAGTACTCAAAGGGCTATCGATGGGCTCGGGATACACTTATCGTCTTTTGTTATTGAAAAGGCTTTTATGAGTTTCAATTTCTTTCCGTTATATTATAAAGTTTTTATATACATTGACTTCTTGGAAATAAATTATAAAAAATATACTTGAACAGTATTTCTTTTTCTGAAGGACTAGATCTTTTCAGAATGGACTAGATTTTTTCTAGATTATGCACGCATTTTTTTAGGATAGGTATATTACAGAATTCTATATTGTTTCAGAATTTCCTGAATAATGTTTTGAGCGACTAATATTGTATGTAATATCTTGGTCAATTTCATACTAAAATATTTGTTAACTTCATATTGCCATCTTGGGAATATGTTGCTATGGTTAGTAGTGAGGATTTACTCTACTCTGATATTTAATATTTAATACTAGATTTCGGCCGTTACTTTTTTATAAGACAGGTCCGTCATTTTAAATATTTATGGTCATAAAGGTAGGTTGACTATTTCAAGATATTTGGATACAAATTGACGTCCATCTCGATTTAAAAGTTACTACTTGATGCAGTAACATGTACAGCTTCTTTGCAATATGTTTATACATATGTTATGTATATATATATGTACTCGTAGGTATAAGAAAAATATGTATCAATATATTGAAGTACATACATATTTGAATAATATATATCATATCTTGTTATTGAGTTATGTCTCAAAGAATTCATGAGTAATAAATGACATGAAAGAAGACTTACATACATATATACAGCACACATTAGGATAAATAGTAACTCAATATTTATTGTATTTTTAAATCATTTTATAAGAGAAGTACAATTTAAATTTTCAATTACTTTTTATATTTAATTAGATATATTTTTTTATTGTTTTCAAATTAGTCCGGTAATATTTTTTTCAGTTCATTTAGCAATTTTGTTTGAGAAACGAATTCCTTCCATAATATTACCAAATACCTCATGTTAAATTTCAAAACCTTATAAGATTTATAATATTTTTCTAGTGTTATATATTCTAATATTCTCAATTATTAGACTAAAGAGACAAAACTTCTCATCATTCCATGGATTCACCGTGCGGGTGTCGGGTTCATCGTTGTAGTGAGAGGAGCTTTAACAGTGACTGGGACTTGCGACCCAGGTATAGGTTTAAGGGACCCCTTAACTAACGCGCGTTATACGCTCACTTCCTCTGTCCAAGCTCCTCCCCCTACCTTACCAAATTTGAAAGTATGTTATTTTATACGTATAACTTTTTGCCAACGTACTATCTAACGTAATTTTTGAATCAGGATTTATAATTGATTCACGGAATTTGATATATTTTATGATCTTGAATATAAATCGTATTATATTGATCGTAGGCGAAAAATAGGGAAAAAATATTTCGTGAGATAAATAGACAAGTAACAAACGATAGTGAACAAACAAAAACATAAAATAGCATGAAAAGGGAAATACGTGTATAAATATGGTTCCGTACATTGAAAAATGTCTTTGATTGCATAGAATGCTGATGAGGTATGATAAAAAATGTTATTTTATTTACAATCATAATATAGAAACTAAGATTTTAATTTAACTAATATGTTTTGCGAAGCAAGCAAAACTATTGTAAAGATTTGTATAGGATTTTGTATCTACGTATTAAAAGTTTTTGGTCTAATAGAATTCTTTATTGCAAAAAAATATATATAAGCTAAAAAAAAAAAACATATTTTGTATAAAAACGCAAACAAAAGAATAGTTTTTTATTTAAAAACGGAATTTTCTATCTTAAAAATGTATTTACTATAATTTAGATTTTAAAGATGTATTCATTGTTAAACAAAAGTTATTGTTGAATATTATTTAATATTAATATAGTGACAAATTAATTCTATATCAGCAATAATCTAGTAAGATTAGGCTAACTTAATTCCAGCACGCACAGATTTCTTTGTAATATTTAAATTAGAAACTCATGTTGGCATTTACATTAAAAAAAAATTTTTCTTGCATACCGTTGGTAGTGTCAATTTAATATTATTTTATATACGGAACCCTAGAGTGAGAGAATCTCTTGTGTATTTTATTACCTCATAAAACTTTGAGACATTTCGTCAGTTTTCCTTTTTTTTCTTATATTTTCTACTTCAGTATCATCGTATAAAAAATATATCGAGAACTGTGATAAATAAAATATTGATAAAAGTTTTTTCGTTTTATTCACTGTAATACAAATAATTTCTAAGTACCTATTGATCTTTTTGTTGCTATTGAAGTTATTTGTGCGTCTAATTTAGTAAATACTCTTATATCAAATTTTACTACACAATTCTCCCGTTTCAAAAAATTATTAAAAAGTCAATAGGGAGCATAAAATAAAAGGTTTCAATTAATACAAATAAAAGCTTTGATGTTTTTTTAATAGTTAGATCATTCAAAAAAAAAACCAACAAAATTTCAATTTCTGAAATTTTATCGAGTTTAATGAAATATATTTACGATGCAGAGTTTTTCAATTTTATTTACCACACTTCAGTTTTATAGAAAATAAATAATGATATACATAAATATATGTAAAATACATATTCGTATAAGGAATAATATATAAATTTTAGACATATTCATGAAATTATACGGTATTAAATTAATTAGTCCCAGGCACTGTTGAAGCTCCTCTCCCTACAACGATGGACCCGGCGCCCGCACGTTTAATCCATGGAATGCTGAAAAGTTTTTATCATTGACAACACAAATATAATCCGAAATTAAATTTCCTAGTTCTAAATTCTCTCCAAGTACTAAGTTGCGAATAAATTAATCAACTTTAATCAAGATACTACTAGGAATAAATTATTATAATAATCCCTACTAATATTACAAATGCGACAGTAACTCTGTCTGTCTGTCTGTTACGTTTTCACACCTAAACCACTGAATTGATTTTAATGAAATTTGGTACAGAGATAGAGTTGACCTTGAGAAAGAACATAGGATAGTTTTTATCGCAGACTTTTAAAAAGTTCTCTTGGAAACGCGATATAACCGAACTCCATGCGGGCGAAGACGCGGGCGGAAAGCTAGTCACAAAATAAATTAAAAATAAAAATTGGAAGGTATTTTACAAGGAGCTTATATTAAACATATAGTTAGAATAAATTTGTTCTTATTTCTTACAAACAGAAATTAAACAACGTGATAATTAAAAACATATTTAGATTCATACCAATTCTTCAATCAACGTATTTTTCTGTGGTTCATGTACTGCTGGTTTTTCAGCCATTCACCTAAACTATCCACTCTAAAATTCAGTTCCATTGATGATCTGATCATCTGGAAAGAACCTATATGTTTCCAGTTCATACTGTTACTGCACTTGATGGCTACAGGTAAATTAATAGAGATTGAAATGATAATAATCAATGAGTTGGGACCATGTGTTAAAACTATATCAAAAGTCAAGGTTTGAAATGATTTAATTTAAATGAAAGAGGCAGATTTTATTTGAAATTTAATTTAAAACTATACAAGTCTGGCTAGTCCGAAAACTAGATGACGTATATAGTATTTTGTACTGCATAAAGTTCTTCTTAGGGTGAGCGGAGATTACGCCATTGTATGTAACTATAGCTTCTTGCATCTTTCATTCTTCAAGTTGCACAATAACATAATAGGGCATATTTTCTGACATAGACATGAGATTAGGTTAGGCTAGATGACCACTACAAGCTTTTGGGTTAGGTAAGGCTACTCAATATATACTCTTATATATAGGCATTCCATAATTTTGAAACTATGAAAATAGAAAATAATTATTTAATAATAAACAGAAAAACTACTATTACTTTGAAATTTTAATAGAATCTAAATATTTAATAACTAAAATAATTTTTAAGGAAAATTAAATTTATTAAATATTTATTGAAAAATTACAAATGAATCTATTAAAATGTGGAATTATATTGATAAATAGCTATAATGTGTAGTATCTGAATATGTAATAAATTTATATAGTAACAGAAAATTCGTAATTTTATTTTTTCATGTTATTAAATTTAATAAAAATTTCAATCAGATTTTATGTATTTCACATTCATTCATTGTGATCTACAAAAAAATATGAATGACATAAATCAAGCTCTCTAGATAAACATTTACAAGGCTTGATTTTTTCTTTTCTAATACCTGGGGATTGTGAAATAGATACTTTTTTACAAATTTTATCACAGCTTTAATTTTGTTGATTAAAAAGACCATAATAAAGATTGAAATTTTACTTTTCAATTATAATTTTAACCTACGAAAATGTAAGCAAGTTTAATTGAAAATTATTGTTTCTACTAGCTTTCCGTCCGCAACTTCACCCGCGTGGAGTTCGGTTATATCACGTTTCCAAGAGAACCTTTCAAAACTCTGGGATTAAAGACTAGCCTATGTTCTTTCTCAAGGTCAACTCTATATCTGTACCAAATTTCATTAAAATCAATTCAGTGGTTTAGTCGTGAAAGCGTAACAGATGGACAGACAGAGTTACTTTCGCATTTATAATATTAGCAGAGATTAGTAGGGATTTCTTAATTATTGAAAATAACGTTCACTAAAAATCTTGTAGGTAACAAATAATTAATTTCACTGTAAATAGTCTTAATTCAGAATATCATATGAGAAAACCTTTTTCTTGATAAATTCATGGCCCGTCGCAACAATTCCCGTAGAAAACGTGTCCAGGTAAAGTTTTATCCAATTATTTGCCAATAACCTTACCTAATAACCCGATCTGAGTGACCTTGAACTTCTCGACTCCCAATTCTGACAGTACGTGACTTTTACGACATACAACTGTAGATATATTGGGGCTTTTGTACCTTATTCTCGTTAAACGATATAAAGTCGGATTTTATCAGTGAATGGTTTAAAAATATAGTTATTTACTATCTAAAATATACTAAAAAGATTAGTTATTGTTCCTACCTAACAGTATAGGAATAATTTTGTCGTATTTTATAAAATTTATAATTATTACTATACGATACAGTGGTGGCCTAGTGGTTAAAAGGCACGCCTCTCGTGCACGAGGGCGCAGGTTCGATCCTGGCAAGTACCAATGTGATTTTTCCGAGTCATATGTACTTTCTAAGAGTATTTAGACGTCACCGATTAATGCATTCCCAAAGAGGGTTGATGTCAGGCAGGCGGCCGGTCGTAATAACAATTAGCCATAACTATTCACAACATGTAAGGCAGACCCTGGCTGAAGCTGGGAAATTGCCAGGTAGAAGACGATATAATTACGTCTCGTTTTATTATCTAGTGTTTGATGTCATAGTAATTTTCTTTCTTTAGTCGACAATTCTAAACTAACATAATATCTTAACTTTAAAGTAGAAAATCTTGAGAGTTCTCCAGTTGAGAGCCTCAAGCGTCTTGTCTAGTGCAATCTAAGATGCGGCAGACTCAATTATTATTATAGTAGTAGTTTTAATAGAATAAGGAATAGAAGTTACATATGTACATATGTATGTATGTGTGTATGTGTATCTATGTGTGTGTGTGAGTATGTGTGTGTATGAAAAGTCCTGAAAGTTTTCAAAATTACCGAAGATTTTTTTTTTTTATTGTACAATTATTCATACTCGTATATTCAAAAGTTTCTGTTTAATATATATGTTTAGCATTTTGTTTATAATTTTCGGAGTATATAAATTTTAGGGTGGATTATTTTGATCAAAATGCAAAAGCAACCGCGAAACTAATCTGACTGCTTGGTATCACTGGAGTAGATTTATGGACTTATGTGAAAGATACTCACTCGCAGTAACTGAAGTTTATACGTATGGTTATAATTATTATATTATAACCTCTCCATTTCTCCATGTTCTCCATTACAGTAACTTTGGGAAGAAAACTAATAACAAATTAAAATTATTTCACGTTTTTATTTTAGAACAAAAAGGAAATTTAAGTAAAATTCTTAATTTTAGACGAAATTATTAATTTAGTGTTTAAGAATAACTTTTGAATTTTGTAAATTACATTTATTAAAAAGGCTTTTTTTAAATAAATTATTTATTTATTGAATATCCCAATTTAAGGGAAAATTTATAAAATTGATTGAAATCGCTAATATATACCTACAATAAAATTTGCTCTTTTTTAACATAAAGGATATTTTAGGTGGTTTTCTCTATTCTCTATTCTGATTTCATATTTTCAATACATTTTATTAAGGTCTAATATTGATTGACGTTAAAATTCTTACCATAAATTACATACTACAAATAAGAGAAAAACTACAAGAAATCAGCACTTAATTACGTTTTCATTAAGATTTATAGACACAAAGGAAATTATAGATAATCAATTTTCATCTTTATTTCATAACTTTAAGGTTCATTTTTAAACGCAGTATATTATCTAAATAAATCTTGCAGTGATCGCACGAACATGATTTCTCATATTAGCATTAATAAATGATTTAAAGAAAAAGGATCCTTATATTATATGCATAAAGTCGATATTTATTATTTTTAATCACGATGATGAGTTGAATAAAAGGTAAAGAGTTTGTTAAACTAAATTAGCCTTTATAATAATAGGTATAGAGTCCATGAAGATAGCGAGGCTTTTCCAAGCATTAGTATGCAACGTAGGGAAATTCAAATCTTATGCTAATAATTCTGAACCTCAAATTATAGACTATGAAAAGCAATGGCTAAATAATGGCCCATAGTTTAATAAAAGAAATGTTTTAGCTGTATAATAAAACCTCTTTTTCATTTTCTATCTAAATAAAAAGATAAATAATAACGAAAAATCTGCATAGATTTCCATTACATTTTGTTTCTAAAATCTATATAGATTTCATCAATTAAGATAAAAAATAATGTAACACAAAAAATATATATGTATCTTTGTTTTTTTTTTCTAAAACTCCATAGAATTAGTTTCTCAAGTCATTTATATTAATACATACAATTTAAACCATTGAAAAAAATAATATTGCTACATATAAAAATTCAATAAACAAACCTGCCATACAAAAATATGCAGCATTTGACAATTTTTTCACTATCTTTTTAATGTTTATAACTAAAAATAGTTTGGACTCTATACCTGTCTTTGCTAACTACTACATATACAGGGTGACTAGTGAATTACTATCGATATTTGAGGACGTGATATTTGACGATCATATATGACAAAATAAAAATTAATATAACATAAATATTAATAAACTTCTAAGTAAAGTTAACCAAAAGTTATGTAATTAATTACGCATCGTATGAACACCCTACAGATTAGGTATACACTGACACTCACACATACGCGTGTCGTGACGTAGTGTTGTATCAGCACGCCGCCGCACGCGTCCACACTTGAACACTTGGAACGTGTCAACACTTTACTTATTTATACGGAAATTTTGTCAAAAATTAAGTACCAATTTTTTTTACATAATTCGAATGAGAATCATGTACCGAGTATTCTCCTTAAATATTGATAGTAATTCACCAGTCACCCTGTATATATAAATATAAGCAGTTATATATAATAAATAACAAGACCAATTGACAGACATTTACATCTCGTCTGTCCGTGATCACGTTTACTGTAAAGTAACCGAAACGTCGGGAGTATGTAGATACGAAATCTCTCATAATTCAATATATTCATATGCGTGTGTCGGGTCCATCGTTGTAGTGAGAGGAGCTTCAACAGTGACTGTGACTTGTGACCCAGGTGTAGGTTTAAGGGACCCTATCTAACGCGTAGTAATAATATTAGTTTCATTTAAATGAATACTAAGTCTTGAATGTATAAACTCTATGAATATCATATGTCTTAATGAAAGCCAGTCTATGTAACTAGTGTTTCCACTTCATATTCCAAGGTTGGCAAACAGCGTTGTCCCCATCTTAAGAACTTCAATGCGGTACATACCTGTTACAATTTATTTGATGAAAATAATATATTATTTATATATTTTAATTTATTTTATATTAAATTTCAATACATTATAAGTTATATGAAATTTAAAAAACCTACTTATATTTAAAAAAAAATATTTAAAAATTATTTTTAAAATTTTTAAGAGACAGTAATTTCATTTCCAAAATTGAATATTTTTCATGTATATTTTTAATAATTTTGAAAAATATATATTGGCTTATTAATTTTAATTATTCATTAAAAATATAATAGTTTTAATAGTATGAATATCTTAAAATAAGTGCATTCAATGAAAAGCCGATTAAAATGTCCGTTTGTCATTATAATAAAAACAAATTATATACTGTAAGTGGAGGAACTCGACTGTTTTCCCTCTGCAACCTACGGAAACAGGACCATGGAAAATTAAGCCTTAATACGTAATATTACAGTCGTGTTTATACTCAGCAACATTTTAGGGTAGATTGTGAAAATGTTGTCATACAAAATTAGACTCTAATGCCTAAGTATAAAGTTTATTTTCAACTGGACCATTCTCTTGATACCAAAACGCTTGGACCGGCAAAACTCAGTCTATTCACGAAATCGGAAGTTTGAAGTTGTTTTGACTCTGTATTATTAATACATTGTCCTAAAATATACAAATCGAATGTTCCATATTTAAAATGTGAATCTAATAATCCAGACTCGGCGTTACAATTTTAAAAGTTTGTGCTATTTTTTTTTTTATTGAAAAAGTTTTTTAATAGTGTAGGTTGAGGTTTTAGTGGTTGCTATTTAAACTTTAAGGATGAGTTTGAAAAGGTATGTAAATGCTCACATAATACATACTATCGTTCTGTATATGCGTCTGTAGATCTAATTAAATTCGTCTTATTTTAATTAAAAACGCTTTTCCATTCCATTTCCCTATTTATTTATTTTGAAATATTAGTACTTTTCTCTAAATTCCATTTTGCAGTTATATATTTTTTTCATAGCCGTTGTATATAAAACATGTTTCCACAGCATTCTTAATAAATAATATCAATCATATAACAAATCCAAAAATCTATCCAGCTTAATTATACGGGTAGAAACACAGATAAAACAGACATTACTGTTACATATACAAACTTTTTGGAATATATACTATTCGCGTCAAAATTACTATCATTAAGAAAAGGCTTGTTATTTTTTCTTCTATAAATTATTTAATCCTAACTCCATTATTTTTTTTAATATTAATGAGATTTAGTGTGAAATGTATTAAATATTAAACGCCTGTAATTTAATTTAATTTAGTTAATCATAGTTGGAAAACAATGTCCTTATCGTCCCTATTTTTGAATGTAAGTTTGTTTCTGACGCAACTGCGTCAAAAGAATTTGATAGACTTACTTATCAGATATCAGAATTATACAATTTTATTATATTTTCATCGCAAGATAAAAGAAACCTATATTAACTTTATGGATTTATCCAGCACTCCATCTTAAAAACCAGTAAATACCAAATTCAGTTCTGTAGTTATTGTGTAATTAGATAACAAACGTTCACCCATATATACATATATATAAATTCATGATCTAACAAAGTAAATAATGATATGATTTCGTTCAAGTGTCTTTGATATCAAATACTTTATTACTATACTCTTTATATACAATTTTCATTATATTTAATGTAGTATGTACAGAATTTGGGTAAGTACTGCAAACTTTATATGACTTTGTGTCAAAGTATATGTTTAATATATGATTTGTACGTGTGAGGAATAGCTGTCGTAGAATATCCTCATTCTGCTTGAAGTAATAACATGAATATAAGGGTACATACATACACACACACACATATATATATGTACATTAGTTTTACAGTTGTTGTATGTGGTAGTCAAATAACTTTGTATTTGCTATTGGAAAGGAAAGGTTTACATGCAGTGTTGCGAATGCTCCAAAAATCATGTATTTATGCTAGTGTGAAATTAAAACACAAAATAAAGCTATATGTATCTTATTTTAAACATATAAAAGATAAAGATATAAGAACATAAATAAGGCTATAGATTTAGATTTAACTTACATTTGTAAGAAATACGATAGTGAAATCTAAGACTTTCGCGAGTATTCATTTAAATAAAAGTAATATTTTGTATTGACTACACGTTTTTGTCGATAGATGACAAATAATAAGACCAACTAACAGACATTGTGTGATCATGGTTGGAGAAAAGTAACCGAAAATTGGGGGGAATGTATTTTTAAATTACAAAAAAAACCGCGTATTTAGCACATCCAAAAATATTAGTTTTATTTAAAACATATACAATAACTTTATCATTACTTTTATATGAAAACGTGATATTTCAGCAAAGCTTCTGAGATTTTCCATAATAAGTAGTTATTTGACTAAAAAATGTCCAGGTAACCTCAATTATTATGTATGGTGGAGCTTCAAGTCTTAAGGAAGGTCGATTTTAGGAAACTTTTATCCTGACTGTTCCTCAATTATAACTAAGATAGAGTAGGTCACGAAGCGGTACATGTTCAGAATCCCTGGAGGATAATTTGACCGCGATATAAACTCTATAGCATTTCCCAGTGAATGTGTATGAAATAAAGACGTTTAAAATAGGTTTTTTGCAGGAATTGTTAGTATTTTGGTCTATTTTATTGTTACTTTTATGTTTTTAATTAATCTTGTAAGTTTAAACCGGGTTCGAAATAGTTTCTTCTACATATATGTTCTCGATAGAAAGAAAATATTTTTCAATATACTTTTATCTTGAATACATTTTCATATTACTTTTCCATTTCCCTATCATGTTATATATACATATAATACGTCCAAATGTATCATCTACGTGATGTAATAAATCTTGTTGTCATATGCTCCTCTGTCATGTGGTGTTATATTCATACTAATTGAATGATTAATAACGCAATTCAATATAATTGCCATACATTATATAAAAAAGAATTTAATCGACATTGTCAATAGAAATAAATAATATGTGAATAATAGGAGTAAAAGTTTATGTTGCTATGAATCATATAAAAAAAATCATCATTGGGAAGGCAGAGGAAATTATAGAAGAAAATAGTTCTTGACACAAGACTAGACACAAAATCTATATAAACGTATAATGTATGTATGTAGTAGTGGTTAAAAGGCCCTCATATATTCATGAGGGTGCGGGTTCGATCCTGGCAAGTACCAATGTGATGTTTCCGTGTCATATGTACTTTCTAAGAGTATTTAGACATCACTGATTAATGCATTCCCAAAGAGGGTTGATGTCAGGCAGGAGGCCGGTCGTAAAACCAATTGAATGTATGTATGTGATTAACACCGTTATAAAATAAAAATCTAAGAAAAAATGAACCTCGAAAAGGTGTTGTATTTATAATATTTTGAAGGTCAATAACATTTTTTATATTTATACTTATATAAGTGAAGTTAAAAGGTTGTTATGGTATAAAATATATTTGACTTATTTCGCAGAAAGATTAGAAGTTAAATAAATTTGACCTGTCTTTGGATCTAAACATATCCATTATTGTTATTATTTGTTTTCACGGAATTTCTAGAGCTTTACATTTCAGTTTTTGTTACATAATTTTATGTACCAAAAGATTTCATTTCAATTATATGCAAATAAATAAAAATCCAAAAATCAAATATATTTTTGTTAAGTATATTTGCTTTCATACTTAAATATGAACAACACTTAAATAAATAACTCAATTATTTTCAGTTATTTAACGAAGGAAAATATTTTGGAAGCCAATGATTTAC